GCACGCATGTGCGACGCGTAAGACATTAGGGCGGCCGAAATAATTAGGCGCATAGATGGGAATTGTTTGGAGTGCAAGCCAAGCAAGATCAAGATCTAGTCAATTAAGGACCTCTAGATATTTAGTTTCCTTCTTGAACAATAATATCTAGATTGTTTAGGTTATTTAATATTTAATTGCTTTAATTAGTTTTCAAGGTAGATTAGAATTAGTAGTAATTAGGATCTATAAATAGGGAGCATCCCTCATTGTTTTTCATGTCTTGGAATTGATGAAAAAGAAAAGGAACGTTTGTTCAAACCGTGTGTTAGGGTTTTTGAGAATTCGATCATGCAACCGAATTGGTGAGGCTAAGACCCAAGCCAGTTCAACCGAGTTAGCGAGGCTAAGACCCGAGCTAGTTCAACCGAGGGAGTGAGGCTAAGACCCAAGTGAACTCAAGTATCGTGAGAGAGTTAGGCTAATAACCGAGTCGATCACACTTATCGTTGAGAGCAAGGCCGTGGTGAAGCCGTGATCGAGACAAGTCAAGGACACGCAACACATGATCCTTCATCATTGGTGCTTTCATTGAGAGTGATTGATTGTGTGTTCGTGAACTTTTTCTATCCCATTCTTTTTTTTGGTTTGATTTTTTGGGTTCTTTTGTTCGAAATTTTTCGGAGCACAGTGGCTTTTAGTGCTCACGCCCCCACTCTTTTCTCTTTTTTAGATCACAGGGTCGGACCAGAGGTGTGAGCTCAGTTGGTGTTTCGACGTCGTGGGTCCGGCTAGCCGCTGTTATGTGGACTTCTGTATATATGTTTTTTTTACGTTTTTATTTCTGCTGACACTTACAGCTTTTCAAACTTGCATGTCAGATTTCATATTTTGGATTCAATTTACCAGTCGGGTCTTGTACAGTACTACATACTAGTTTGATTAAATATAATCCCTTTTCTTTACAGCTAGACTCAGACAGAGATAACGGGGTTTTCAGAACAAAAAGGTTTTAGTAGCATCCCGATTTAAGATTTCACAAATTAATGAGTTTTATTTAGAAAACTTTTTGCGAAAAATTGACTCTGAAATTGACTCTAATATTAGTAAGTTAGCGGGGTGTTACAATTGGTATTAGAGCACGTTTTTGTGTATCTTAATACTTCAATGAGTCAGAATGTTTTCAGAAAACCCGACCACACCACGCTCACGCCTCGTCGACTACCAGGTAAGTGCTGATTTTAATTTTTTATAAACAAATTTCTACGTCTATGCTCAGTAGGATGTCAGATATCCAACCCTAGAAATCAGTTTAGATGCTCAGATCAGTATAAGTTTCTTTTAGGGGCATAAGATCTATCCTCCGAGAAGAATTCAGAACTTTAGAAAGGGGCTAAGTTTGAGAACTCTAGATTTAATTCTAGATTTATTGGGTCACCTTTTGTGACTCGTCAAGAGATTTGTGAGCTATTATGTAGTACAGATCTTATCAGACATGTTTCTCAAACATTTTTCTATAAAAAATTGTCCATTTTGCCTCTCAAATGGCATATTCTAGAGGGAAAATTTCCTTGATCCAAATCAGGGAAAAGACTCAAATTTTCTAAGTCAGACCAGTAGACCAAGTTTAGAGTTAAAGTCTGACGCTAGAGGTTGTGATATTTCAGAAAGTAACAACCTTTAAAGTCAGTAAGTCGGGAATCTTACTAGTTAGATACTCTGAGTTATAGTTGGCAAAGTTTAAGATCAGTTATTAATATAGTACTTGCGGGACCAGCTGATACTGGAATAGCCCTATATAGTACCTAGTCAGAAGCCAACGTTCATGAGTTAAGGTCGGCGTATAATAGTTAATAGTCGGGTAACATATGGAGATCTGAAATACAGATCATTAGTCCAAATTTACCTGGAAACTTGAAATCAGACGTCAGTAAGATAGTAAGTATCACATTCTAGACACCGAGACGGTCAGTTAAATGTCTTAGGAGAACTTCTAGAGACCAAGTAAGAGCCATCCAGTTATGTGAAAGTTGAGGATAGTCTGTCTAATAAGACAGGACTAATAATTTTCCTCACAAGTATATCCAGTGTCTCGCTTTTCAAATTCAGAATATTTGAGAAATCGCAGGAGAGATTCTTTCTCAGTGAATTTTTCTTGAGGTTATTTTGGTCTCAGGAAAGGTGAACATTATCAAATACAGTGTGTCGATTTACGACACGTCTTTCGTTCGTGACGGAGAAGACTAATCAACAACAACAGACAACGACGTGGTGACAAACCCGAGCCTTCCATACGAGGACGCACGTCGCAAGAAGAGAATGAAGCCATATATGAGTCACAGTATGCCGGGAGATCATGGAGTGCTAGCATTGTAGTACGCTGAGGTTACTAGCATGAGATACAAATATGACCAGTTATACAGATTACATCGACATAGCAGGTGCTATGTTCGCTAGGTGTTGCATGCAGGCATGCCGCAATCACTAGATGAAGAGCAGGTGTGCCGCATTGCAAAGTGCCGCGAACGATGTGTCGCGTCATCGGGTAGGTGCTCATGACAGGAGTTACCGAGATTGCTAGTTTTCCTCATTTGTATATGTGCGTATCTCTAAAGTCTTCCATGAGTACCGCAATGACTTGGGTTTCACAACTGAAGTCAATACTAAAGATTGACAATTGGCCAGGAGGAGATGCCTAGTAAGCTCAAGAACTATATCTTGAGTATCGAGTGTAATCAATGGAGCATTTTGATTAGTAAAGTGTTCTTAATCTAGCCAGTATTAATCAACAATTCACCTAGTTTGTGAATTGGTGATTCTTCAGTTAGAAGCATAGCATAAAGCTCATTATTCAGATATTGAGTTCTAAGTTTATGCCATCAGTTTAGTATAAGCTTTGAGTCAAGCTTGTACTTTCAATTTTAGTATTTTCGAGGACGAAAATAGTTTAAGGGGGATAAAGTGTAACGCCCCAGTCTTTTATTAATAAAAGAAAGACACTAGCTTCCGACTATAAGCTAGCATTTATTAATAAATTCTCAGTATTAGTATTCGAGCTTAAGTTATTCAACTAGTTAAGTTCCAAGTTCGACGTTAAGTTGAAAATATATTCGGTTCATTTTATTCATTAACCGAGTTAAATTCAAGTAATTAATCTCAGTCCGTTTACTTTTATAAATAGAAATTAGTAAGTTTGGGATTAATTATTTCAGTGTTGAGGTATTAATCGAATTCGAGAATATTCAATAAATCGTCAAAGATGAGTTTCAAGCCTAGTTAATAAGTGATTCAGATATAAGTTCGACTTTATGTCGAAAATCGATTCAGTTTAATTATAGTCAGTAACCGAACCAGTTCCAGTTATTAATTCCAAAATGTTTATTTTTATAGACGAATATCATTAGTCAGGATTAATTATTTTAAGTAGACGTAATATCCGAAACAGAGATATTCAGATTAATCGTCGAAGTTGAACCGGGACCGAAATCGAGCAAGTTCGGTCGAGATATTTTTTTAATACTCTAGCCGAACTTATGATGATTTATTAGTAGTCTTTTACAAATTTTTCTAAGTACTTATATATATAGATTAAGCATTAGTTAAGAGAATAAATTATTCCTCAACAGCAAGGATCAATTCATGCGCATGCATATGTCCAAACCAAGATGCCGCACCTATGTTACCGAGATTGAGATTATGTGCAATTGTTAATCTTATAATGAGTTTAAGCTACATTATTTAGTATTTAGGTATGCTTTGGAATAAAGCAAATTCATTAGTGGATCTCTTAAGATGTTGACAAATCACATGGTGACTAAGCTCTTTAAAAATGCCACTAATAGCTATTATGAAGACAAGTGGTAGTAGGAAATTAATTCTTAAATTTCTCCTCATTTTTCTAAGTGATAGCCGAGTGTTAGAAAAGATAGTTTACCTCATTATATCCCAATTCTCCTCTTTTTCTTGGTTTTTCCTTACTTTAGCCGTGAGTAATAAGTGTATAGCCAAAGATTTTATTTAATTGTTGAGAGAAGAGTGAGCTTAGCTAGTAATTTATATAAAGTGTTACTTTGGTATAGTATAGTGGAGTTTAATGGAGTGTAAGTTTGAAGAAGTATAGAAGTGCTATGTCTTCAATGTTCATTGCCGAGGGAGCCGAAGTGAAGTGCGCCAGAGCCTTATGAAAGGACACGGGCGCAAGGCAAGTACCTTTTCACAAGCAATTTATACATTTTGGAGCCTAAGTATATGACAAGTGGCACTATATCATTAAGCCATGTTTTTCATCTTCATTCTTCATTAACCTATTTAAATAGTAGTAGCCGTGAGTAGGTTTTATCTTGCAAAACTAAGCATAACCGAGAGAGAAAAGATAGAGTGTCGAGAGTTAATGGTTATGGCTAAGAGAATATAGCACCGAGCTATCTTTCATTCTAGCCAAATTCACTGGCACCAACTTGACTTCAAAGGGTCTCTAGGAGTGTAGGGAGCTTAGAGAAGCCATCCATTTTAGCGAGGAGCAGCCGGGTCAAGCCCTTTGCCGATAGGTCCCGAACAAGGACCGAGAGAGGGCCTTTGTGCCATTTTCTGTGTTCGGTGAAGATAATTGAATCCTAACCAATTTTTCCAGTTAATATATGATATTTTATGATTTATCATATAAAGAAATCGAGTTTTTTTCTTGTATAATTAAAGATTCGGAATTTTGAAGTTAATCGGCTTAAAAACGGATTTTTAGTTCCGACCATGTTTTGGCCGAGTTTAGTAGCTTAAAAATCATGATAAATCATATGTAAAATGCCTATAAAGTTTCAGCATGTTTCGAGTAGAAATGCTCGGTCAAGTTGAGCATGATTTTAACTTATTTTCACTCCCAAGCCATTTCAAAATCTAGTCGGAGTCTCCCGAGCATATTATTCATTTTTGAGCTTATTATATCATGTTTAGTTGAGTTGATGTTGCCGGAATAAGTCACCGGACAACCAGCAAGGTGCCGGTCGGGGTGCCCTGCCCGCACATAGCGTGCGCAGCACGCCCAATCGTGCGACGCGCGCAGGCGCAATGCATGCCAACAGCGCATGGCAGCGCCCAGTCAGTCTGCGTGCACCCGACGCCCGTAGTGCCCAACGAGTGCAGGCAGCGCCCGACAACACCAAGCCCAACTCGCAGCACGCGTGTACGCCCGTCACCCAACCGTGCCCAAACGCACGCTGGGGAGTCCCAGCGCGTGCCAGCACGCCCCAACGACGAACCAGCGCGCATAGTCGGCCTCGGTCCGTACCCAGCAGCACGCCCGAGTGCCCAGTGCCATCAGGACCGCCAAGCAGCGCCCGTGTGCCACCAGCTGCGACAGTGCACGCAAGCAGTGTTTGGCCAGTGTGCCTAGTCGCTTGTCCGCGGTGCCCAGCGCCCGGCAGTCCCTTGACGCGCAAGCACCGGGCCAGCAGCGCCCGGTAGCACCCAGTTGCACGCGCTCGTGAGGCCAGTCACCACTGGCCAAGCCCAGTAGCACGCAAGCGTGCACTGTCACCCGCAGCCGTGCCCAACAACGCCCGACAGCACCAAGGCCGCGCCAACTCGTGCGTGCGACCGCGCAGGGCACCAGCATGCCTTGGGCGGGGTCGAGCCTAGTTATCCCAGCCAGCGGCTGACCGCCCGGCTACAGCATGCCGGCGGTCCAGCCAGCCAGTGAATCGATCGGTCTAGACCGGTTATTCGAGCATTTTATTCCTTATTTTTCCGGTTCAAGTTTATTTCAAATTTTTAGTAAATTTTTTAGTCTAGTCAGTTCAGTATAATAATACCAGTTAAGTTCAAATTTAAAATCAGTTAAAATGGAACTCTAGACTGTTCCAGTAAATTCAGATATTACCAGTTCAGTTGAGCATCTTAGCAGTTATTTTTAGTAAGTCTGAGCATATCACTTAGCATTTGTTTATTTATATATTTTTATAGTATGAGCAGTCAGCAGACAATCAGCACTTACATTTTCATAACCAGCAGTACTAGTGGGGACTCAGACTGGGTATTCCATTGAGTATAATTACAGCTATCATGTTTGAGGTATGTATATTCGATTTCTCTTAGGGTGGTGTTCAGATATCGTAAGTCCTGTTGGGTTCTGTTAGGAACGTCAAACAACATGCACAGTATTTAACTTTATCGAAATAAATCCTAACACAGCGGAATCTATAGTTAGGATATGGACGTTTACCTTTTAAAATTTTTGCCGACTCTGAGACGATGTAGAGTACCGTTGGTGAAGTTCGTCTGAACACCACAACCTAATGGGCAGATAGGTTTGTCCTTTAGTTGATTCTAATCAACTCGTCAAACGGATCACGAACAGACAGTACGCGGGTCTCGGTCTTCGGGTGCAGCGGACGTGCGCGTCGGGCACGGACAGCGAGCAGGTGCGCAGGCGTCGTACGTGTCGGGGATAGCGTGCGTGTGCGCGGGCACTGGCAGCGTGCGTGTGCTGGTTGCTGGCGTGATGCGCGGGTCGTTGGCAGGATACGGACTGGGCGTGTGCATCGCGGGTGGAACACACGCGGTCGTGCTGGACACAGAATCCTGGACATAGGCGGACTGTTGCGCGCGTTGCACAGACGCGCTGGGAACGACGCGATGCAGGCAGATCTCACACGAACAGACGTGCAAGGCTGGAGCGTCGCAAACTGGTCTGGGCGATGCGCAATTGCGTGCGGGGCGTGCGGTTGCGCTTCGGCTGGACTCGGGTGGCGACCGACGGCAGTTGGCAATTTCTGGCGATCACTCACGGCGGCAGACGACGGTGATGATGATGATGACCGGAATTTATAGTAATTAGAAAGCTCAATTAATTGTACCAAAAAGCCTTCTAATGGATTACCTAAACACCTACTTCGATCAAACTTGGTGGAGCGTTTAATCGAATCTCCCTAACTCTCGAACGATGATATTTCTCGCGTGTATGTAGGTGAGAAAACCGGCCAACATTACATTGTAGGAGAGGTTGGAACATGTTGTATTTATAGGCTCCATTAGGGACCTTAAGGAGGTGCTAAATATGGGCTTATTCCATTAGGCCTAGGAAACCTAAGTCTACTCCAATACTAATTTAATGTAGGAAGGAAATCTCCTACTAATCCTCTCCTTCTAGAAGACTCCTAAGTCTCCTAATATAGGAAGGAAATCTCCTTCTAAATATATCTTGATATATTTGGAACCTCTCATTTGGACTCTCATGTGAACATGTGGAATTTTGTTTGAATAGATATTTCTTAATTTTTTAAGCATGTCATTACCCGAGCATGTTTTAAATCAAGGATATTGTGACGTTTGTATTTAATCTCTTGTGGTTCTTGCGTGGAGCTTGGTATTGGAAGTAACTCATTTGAAATTTCGTTTGGTACATTTGTATATGGTTGTTTGTATCTGCGTAGTATGGTTTGTTGTAATTGTTTGTTGCATTCATGGTTTTGTGAAATTCTGGTCGACTGTACCTTTGAATGAGTGATGTGGATGCCAGTATGACTTCTTTGATTTATTCATCTCTTGATTATTATGGCCGAAATCGCAAATTGGAGGATGTGGATAAATACGACTAATGGTACATTTTGAATTCTTGCTGAGGAAAATACATGAGCAGGTGGACTGGATATTGGTTATGCTGAGAAACGGAAAGCATGGAGCAAACAACAACTCAGGTTTTCGTGTATAGGCAGGAAAGAGAGGCCGATAAATATGCTTGATGTTTTTTATGATTATCTCGTTCGATGAAATTATGCATTAAGTGACACTAACGAAAATGATCGATTAATATTATATCCTGTTGTGTTTGGTGTGTTTCTCTTTAACCTCAGTGGCAGGTCAAAGTATTGGAGTTGTTCTGAAGAAAAAAATTCACTTGTTTTGGTATGCCCCTCTTTGGGGTGGGCAAGTGGTCACTTATTTTGGCATGCCCCTTTGAGGTGGGAAAATGATCGAAGAAAAAATCCACTTGTTTCGGTACACCCCGCATCGGGGTGGACAAGTGGTCACTTGTTTTGGTACCCTCCTTTGGATGGGCAAGTGGTCGAAGAAAAAGTTCACTTGTTTTGGTACGCCCCTTTAGGGTGGGCAAGTGGTCGAAGAAAAAATCCACCATGACTAAGGTCGCTAAGAGCTTGGGTGGTCACATGTAACAACCACTCATTTGAGGGTGGACATGTAGTCGAAGAAAAAAATCTACCCTGACTAAGGCAGTGAGGATGTGTGGTCACATGTAACGACCACTCCTTTGAGGGTTGACATGTAGTCAAAGAAAAATAATTCACAATGACTAAGACCTTCGGGCTGGGTGGTCGATACTAGTGTTGGGTCGTTGAAGACATGGAGGACAGATAGCCCGAGCAGGGCGATTGTTTTTAGTTGAATTGGTTTATGGATTTATTTTTTAACCCCAGTGACAGGTCGATGGAGCCTAAAAATCTACCATGACTAAGGCCTTCAGGCTGGATGGTCGATCCTAGTGTTGGGTCGTAGAAGACACGAAGCTTATTGAGATCTCGGAGGCATGTCGATGATTTTTACTTGGTTTCTAGTTTGTCATATTTATTTTTCGACCTCGGTGGCAGGTCAATGGAGTTCATGAGCCGAGGGATGGAATGACGATTGGATGAGAGGAGGGTTTCTTCTCAAGTTTAGACGTGTTTTAAGAGGGGAGAAATTCTAAAAAATAAAGCTGAGGGGCGTGCAATATAATGGAAATTGAAGGAGAAAATATCCAACTTATGGAGGGGAATAAAATTAAAGCAATTGAGGCTTGACTTACCAAATTAGGGAACAACGGTGAGGGGATTCACGACACTTATAGGGCTGGATGAGTTTGAAGTCAATATTTTCCAAAAACTAGTATTTGATCTTGTGCATTTGTACAGATATAAAACATGTTTTTGTTTGTATTTATTAATTTCACATGTACTTCTATCATATAAAAATTATTATTTTTGTAAGTTATTTTTATCATTCAAAATTAATTGAGATTTAAATTTTATTTTAACCATGCAACGTTTACATTAATAACATGAATAAAATAATTTATATAATTGTGGCATATATTAAGAAAATTAACATAAATAAAAAAATTATTGGTGTTTCTGATTTCTAGAAAAAAATTATGTGTCAATCATATTTTTCTTCCAACAATGCAACCAAATATAGCGGTTACTGCTCTGAATGTGCCAATCAACTTTAAGTTCTGAAATTAGCCGTTTCACACTTGAATATTTTGCTACCAAATTTAAAATTAATTTAGTAATTGATCCAAAAAATAAATAATAAAAATATATATATATATATATATATTAAGGTGTAACGGTTTTAGTAGATTAAGGAGTAATTAATTAAAAAAATGTAACACTTTTTTGGAGGGAAATGAAAATAAGTTTTATTAAATATTTTATTTAATGCATCAGCTATTATATATATATATATATATATATATATATATATATATATATATATATATATATAGGGATTGGATCCAATGAGTACACATATTTAAAGTGTGAATGTGAGACTCATTCCTAGCCACTAGATTGGTACATGATGTGTGACCAAGATTTAACTCTTCATTTAAATAATAATTCTTTTTATTACTTAATTCTTTATTTTTATTATTTTAATTATTTAAATATTATTTTGACAATTGACCATTGATTTCGGCGTTGACCGTTGACTTCCGGTGTAATATCCCGATATTTTATCGGTATAAATTACGCTTTAGTTCCGATATAATAATGTTATCGTTTATTATATTCGGAATTAATTATTTTCAGTAGGAATTACCGAAATCTATTTTCGACGTACCGTTTACGTTCGGAATAATTTTGGTAATTAAGCATTATGTTTAATTAAATAATTAAACATAAGTAGTGATTAATTAATTAATTAATCACACACTTAAGTTAGTCATAATAGCCGTGAGATATAAATTCAAATTGCCCCAATTTGATGTTAAGGCCGAGAGGAATTAAGACTTGGTTTAAGTTCATGCTTCTTCATTTTCTTAAGACTTAAGGCATAATATTCTTCACTCAAAGGTTAGCACGTGGCAAGAGAACAAGAAGCTTAGTCACAATAAGTTCATCATATGTTCAACAAGTGTAAGGCAAAGAGAAAGCCACATCCCACCTAGGTCACAATATCCCTCCCTCTCGGCCGTACATAAAAGGGGGTGTTTGGGCTGAAATTTCTCCCCAAAATTCTTATAAGATAACCACCACATCTTCAGCATATTTGCTCTTAGAACGACTCCATATTCAGCAAGTAATTTCCATAAGTTTTCTATCAAAATGCACGGCAAAGGAGGCACAATCGCACGGCAAGCACAAGGACAAGGAAACACAACTTATTTTCCGATTTCGGTCGAGCAATCCGAGAGGTAATTCCTTCCTCCTGTTATACTCTAGTC